GCCTACACCTTGCCTTAGGGTAAAAGCTGCAGATACAGGGACTTGAATAGATCCTCATTTCTTTAAGTAAGCATGCGCCCATAACAAGACGCAGCCTGTTTCTGTCCAACATACATTTAGGTAGGTGTTTTTTACATTATGTTCATTCTTTATAGTTTTTTCTATAGGAGGTAGAACTAGCAGGGCAGTAATGTGTCATATTCCAAAAAGGAATTCTTGTTCTTTTAGCTATGAATTTGTCCTTAAACTGGATTCCCTACACAGAAAACATAACTTTGGTCTTTTAAAAATTATTCAGTCTTATTATCATTGCCTTTTAATTGGAACAATCATCCATTTTAATCTTCATATATATTTATATGGTTAGGGTTAATTTGTTCATCTGGATTATTTTATTTGTTCTATTTATGTGTTCTTTTCTGTAAATAACTTCTTCCATTTTAAAAATCAATATATTAATATTGAGTATTCATCTCTAATTTTGGCTCATTTGCTTTTTCTTTTTATCATAATTGGTAGTTGCCGTAGCATACAGCTTGCTTATAGTTTTATCTTTAATGAACAGAATTAATCTCAATTAATACTGAGTTACTGCGCATGCAATGTAACAACTATACACAATCTGTTTTCATTTTGTTCTCATTAACTCTGCAGTTGCTATTATGTATTTTAGTTGCACATATGTCATAATGACAAAAATATTATTTTTCTTTCAACAGCCAATTTTAACTCAGTAAAAGTACTATCCGCAGTTACCAATATTGTACCCATATAACGCTCAGCAGTTTTGTGTAAGTCAAGGTTTCTTTCTGACATATTATAATTCTGCTTAATGGATAATTCTTTTAACATCACTTGCAGTGGAGATCATATGGTAATAATTCTCTCAATTTTTGTTAAGAGATATTTTTGCTGGGTATATAATTCTAGATTTAGCAGGGTTTCATTGCATTTTTTGTCTTAACACTTTAAAAATCATTTAACTTATACTCTGTCTCAACATTAAATAAAAACTTCAGAAGTCTTGCCTTAGTTTCTGTCTATATAATGTGTCCTTGTTCCTCTTTCAGTTTTTAAATTTTAATCCTATTTACTGGTTTCCAGCAGTTGAGACCTGCTTTGGTAAATTTATCCTACTTGCAATTTACTTAGCTTCTTCAACCTGTGAGTTCATGGTTTTCATCAATTTTGGAAAAAAAGTGGCTATTAATACTTAAAATTTTCATGTAAAATTGTGGAATTGCACTTTAGAATATAGCCACAGACTCAAGGATTCCCTAAGGAGTTTTGTGGATCTCTTTTTCCATGACACTTCCTCCTCTCCAGCACCCAGTCCTGAAACTTTCAGCCACCTTAGTAGCTTAGTCATGTCAGATTGCTATAACAACAGAACACAGACTGAGCAGTTAACCAAAAATTACTTCCTACAATTCTGGAGGCTGAGGAATTCAAGATCAAGACATATTCAGTGTCTTGTGAGGCCTTTCTTCCTGATTTACAGAAGCCTGTCTTCCTGTTGTGTCCTCACGTGAGAGAATGAACGCTAGTCTCCTTCTTTATGAAAAAGAACACTAATTCTATTATGAAGGCTCTACCCTGTATGGCCTCATATAAACCCAGGTAGTAACCCCTCCCCGACTTCCCATCTTATCCCCTCCCCAAAGATCTCAATTCCTAATACATTCCGTTGAGGTTTACATTTTCAACTTACAGTATAAATCTTAGGGGAACAGAAACATGCAGTCTTTACTCCCAGCCCCCAAGAACTCTAATATTTATCTAAATTCTGTAAGGCCACATTATTTTCTCAAGACCCCTCCTCCTGTAAAAATATTATGTGCCCATAGCCAGAAAACCAAGACAGAAAACATTGTTTCTCTTCTATTGTGGATCACAATTCTGGGCTATTATACTATATCTGAAAACTGTATATCTTATATACAGTTGAATTCCAGTCCTACTTTTTTTCATAATGGCCATGTGTAAAGGTACCCACATAATTACAAATTAGAACTCACTATAATATCCATATGTTATATTGATTTATACATGTATATATATTTACATGTTCACATGTTAAGTTTGAGCAGATGATATTTCAGATATAAGTGGAAAATTGTACTAAATGTAGTAATAAGTAACATATTTTCTCAGATTAATATTCACAAGCACTAAAATTACTTTTGAATAATGACTTCTAAGCTGCACTGTCACTAAAAGCACAGAAAAAATTAAAAATGTATTCTGATTTTATTATCTCTATTTGTAAATAAGAAAGTCTTCAAAATATTGCTTTCTCTTTTTAACAGAACCAATTCATCAAATCTGAGGTAAATCTTTAGGCACCATCTTTTCTAGTTACATGAACAATAGTATTAAAATAGTGACGGCTTGTAGCACTTCAAAACTGCTAAATTGTTTGAAATCCTTTTGTAATTTTTCTTTTCCCTGACTTTTTATTCTATAATGACCATTCAGTCCAGTGCCATGGCCACCATAAAAATTTAGTTTATATCATGCACTAGAAATAAGATCATGATTAATATTATATTTAAAATTAATCATTTAAAATTTGAGAGCTTTTCAATAACCCTATATTAGTGACTGAAATTATCATTTTTGTCATGTGCCTCATAACAGTAAGACAGGAAATGTAATAGTTTTCTGTTGCTGTAACAAAATACTTGAAACACTTAAGTTAAACAGAGGAAAGTTTTATTATTTTGTCTTATAGTTTTTGTGGCCCTAGTCCACTGTTGGCTGGCCCCATTTCTTTCTGCCCTGTGGGCAAGAAAGACATCATGTCAGGGAGCACATGTTAGAGAAAGGTGCGCGCTTCATTGCATCTAAGAAACAATGTGAAAGAAAGAAAAAGAGGTAAGTTTCCATTGTCCCCTTCAGAATTACATCCCCCTTCCCCAGTGATCTGGCTTCTTTCCACTAGACCACACCATTTAAAGACCATCCACCTCCCAATAGCACCATGGGATGGAGATCAAGCCATCTGCACATGGGCTTTTGGGGAACACTCATCCAAACCACAGCAGGGAGTATTAGTCTACCAATTCATGCATATTTCTTTGTCCAGATATTAAAATTTCTATAAATCTCATTTGGGTAAATGCATATACAGAGACCTCAGAACTCTTTAATACTTATGGGCTATACTTGATCCTTAATGAGAACAATCATGAAGAATTTTTTATTGGTTAAAGAGTTTCATAAGAATTATTTTGATACTATGCACACATTTGCTTGTGTCATGCATAAGCCAGCAGGTGGCAAGCTTGCAATTTTTTTGTGCAGTTGCTCTTATGGAAGATGTAGAAGATTAAACTATGTCTCAATGGACCCTAAGAGTAACATTTTTGATGTATCATAACATAAGGAAATAAATCCTTGAATTGTTGGGTCCTTGGAGTTTTGGACAGCAATGTGCTTCACGTATGGTGTAACCTTATAATTATTTCTTTAGAAAATACTTCTGAGGGATCATGGTAATAATAATAATAATAATTTTGCCAGCTTGAACTCACTTGTTATCATTTACTGGCATGATTATAAGGGAAATTTAGACGTATGGGGGCTTACTTTGGGAGCAGGTTTACATCAATTTAAAAAGCACACAAACTATACTTTATGCTCTAGAAAGTGTAGTGTAATTCTAACATTGTAATTAATAATTCTAACATTGATTGTCATGTTTTCAAACAGAATAGTGATGTTTTCTGTGGATAATGATTTTCATTTTATTTCTAAAATTATTTCTGATTTATTGTGACTCATTAGTATTTTTTGAAAAGTGAAGGTAGATTTAACTTGTTCTATGTAAAATTTAATTTTTAATTTTCAAAATTTTGAATTTCATAACAATTACCCAGTATAAATCAACAATGTTTATTTTCCAGCATAAAATTGGAGTTTGGTGTATTTAATCTCATTTCTTGTCAGAGATGAAACTTCAAATAACATAAGATTTTCTCATTTCTTTTATTCTTTAAAATTTATATGTTATTAACATCAACTCTACATTCTCTACAAAAATAAGGTCTCTCACAATAACAATATTCATTATTTCTGCATAAAAATTTGGGTTATTTAGATGACATCTACAATATTTAAGTAAATTATGCATCATTGAAGCCTAAGAGAACTTTTGAAGGTTTCTAACAACCGGACATTTGATGAGCCATGTTTCAAGTAGAAAGTAAATCCACTTCTTATGGTTCAGTATAAGGGTTTTTTTCCTCCAAATATTACAATAATTGAAGATTCTTTAAGGCTTAATAACTGGTAATTGCTACATGCTTTTTTATTTTTAAGGAAAGATGACTAAAACTTTATAATTATAGAATAAGTATATCATAAAGGAAACAAATTACAAGGTACAGTTAAATTTAAACTGTGATACAAGCCCTGAATCAATGTTTAAAAAAATTGAAGTTGGCACTTGTGTTACAAAACTTGGGCTATAGGTCACTCTACTTTTGTGTCCTTAGCATTTGGCATTTTTAAAGAAGATACTTTGCATCACAGAGGTGCCTGTACTGCACTATGTGTTTAGAGGTCAGGGTGCCCCACTGTACCCTGACTCCATCCTCTCTATGTTCCTTCAATCCATCTCTAACAGGAGAACCATTATTGGAAAGATGATTCACACTTCAAAACCTCCTCTCACCTCCTCACTTCCCAGATACTCTTGATGGAATACCTTGAGATTTATTTCTTGAGGTAAAATCAAGAAAATGAAAAATGGGATTCAAACAATGATTCCCAGACATCTAGAGTCCCATAAGCATCAAAGACGACAACACAAAGCTACCCAAGCCACACTTTCCTGGGCCCTAATGGTTCTGACCAGTGCAGATTGTTGAAAACAGTTGTGCATTAAGCCAGATGTTTAAAAAATACAAAAAGTCTGTTCCAATACAGTATTTAAACGAACATATCTCTGGAATTTGAGTGAGAATGCAGGGTCCCAAATGAGCTGGGTCTGGCTGCTTATCCCAAGTGAGGGCACACGCACCTAGGTGGGAGCAAGGGTCTGCTGGCTGGAGAGCAGGGTGGTCACATCCCCGTGAAATGTGGCAGCTCCTGTCAATTGCTTCTTCTCCTCGGACCCGGAAGGTGACAGGTGGTGGGCTCTCCTTAGGAGCTCATCTGGACGCAGGAGTTTCTTGGTAAGGGCCTTGCGGGGTCCTGGGGTCCTAGTGAAATCAGGATTCTGGGCTTTCTCCAGCCTCTGCTCCCCTGCCTGTCTTTGTTCACTGCTCCCTACCCCGGTTACATGCAGAAGAAAGTTTTACACCAAACGAGCCCCGCGTTGACGTAGGCATTGCCTCCCTTCCCTGCTGGAGAGACGCCCAGAAGGGAGCAAGTGGGGGAGATGCGGAGGTAGGGATCGCTTAGATTCCTGTGGTTAGTTGGGGGTCCCGGGAGGGACGGATCCAAGGCCAGCCAAGAGTATTGGTGCTAGATCCACAAATACACCAGGCTTCGCCCTCCTCCGTCAACCTTCTAAATCCCAATGAGATCATAGCGATGAGAGAGAATCAGATCAAGAGAGAGGGGGAGAAAGAGGACGACGACGAGGGAGAAGAAATCCAGACGGAAAGAGGCCATCAGACAAGGTCACTTTTTCTGGCGACACAGCAACTGCCGGGAGCGTGGTGCTGAATACCATCCGCCCTCTCCACCTGGGGACCGAGACTCACAGAAGCACTTTACGTTACCACGAAAACAAAGGAGCAGAGGCGAGAGGGAGACACAGAGGGAAGCTCTGAGCCCTTGGACTTCGGGAAGCCAAGCTCAGCCCTGCAGGGAAGGGAAGGGCGTCTGCCAGGTCGGAGAGGCTGAGGAGGGGCTGCTTTCCCTGCGGAGACCGGGGACGAGGCAGAACTCTGGACAGCGCCTCGCGAGCGCCGCTCCAGCCCGGGGCTCCCAGGTCGCGCGCGCAGCTCCCTGAACGCCGAGCTCCTGATTGCTCTCTGTGGACTCCCCAGCACCGAGCCCCGCAAGCCTCCTCTCCAGTCCTTGTCTGAACGTGCCAGGGGGTGGAACAGCTCTTTCGCCTCTGGTCGGGCCAGGGAAGAGGATCTCTGGTTCTGGAAATCCAGTCCTTGTGGATAAATGTTTTGCTGGTGAAGAAAGAAAAGTTTTGGGATCTGGTAGGGGGTGTAAGGGGTGAGGAGGATTGTGGAAGAAAGAAGGTGGATGGTTGGTTTCCCTCTCTGATCTGGAAGGAATGATGACCCAGGAAGGATGTGCACCAGCGGCCAGATTATTGGGAGCCTCTTGGTGCTCTCTGTGCTGGAGATAGGGCTGGGGGTGTCCAGCGTGGCCGTGGGGGCGGTCAGCTTCAGCCTGGCCCTCCGAGAGCACAAGCCTCAGCTCGGAGACTCGTCCCCGGTATGGAGCGGGGTGTGTGTACGTTGAGCCATTTCACTCTCTCTTTACCTCTTTACGGTGATGGTCAGTGTGCGTGCGGTAGTCGCTCCCTCCCCGGGAAACAAAATCATAAATCTGCTCTGGCTTGCATGTAGGTTCGTATTGGCAAGCTCTGCTTCTTTATGTTGTTCTTTTTATTGGTTGCTCCCTCCCCTACCCCTTACCTGGGGTTAAAATAAAATTAGATGGCTTTGTTTAAACTTGTGGTGAGGGGGTTCAATTTCCACTGGCTAATTCTGCAAAACACTGGCCAGTATTCATGATTTGGGGTGGCATCTGTCAAGGGCAGATTCACTTAGTCTTTTGTTCCTTTGAGGAGGAAAATCAAACTGAGAGTGTTACATCCTTTTCATGTATCACGAACAAACAGGGACTGTTAGTTATGCATTTATCTCTGGGCAACAGTGCCCAAGGTACCCCAAAGGCAACACAGCTATGACAAAAAGAGAAATGTGGTGTATCTGTGAAAGGAGACTGTGAAATGGTGCATATTATCCCAGCAAACACTGTTGCTAATTTTCCTTTGCTAGCTTTCTGGTATTATACCTCTGAAAACTCTTTTGTAAGTTCTAGGCCATAACTTAAGCAAGCAACGGTGGTAAGAAATGCAACATTCTAACCAGTGAATAACTTGCCTTAAAGAACAACAACTCCTCAGAGAAAATGTCATAATGCTTTCTAAATCATGTAGCAGACTCAACAAGCTTGTGGTGCAGTTACTTAGGGTGAATCTCAAGGAAAGCCTTGGAGACCCATTCCTTCCACTAAAGATAATAAAATAGCTCAACACTATTCCTACTGTGGACCTAATAGTGAAAAGTAGCTTTTTTACTCTACTTCAAGTGACAGAGCTGCCATATATTTCTGGGGTTTTAATTTGATTCTACTTAGATAATATTAGGACATTCTATTACTGATAATCCATAGTGTTTTCAACTGTTATGGCTTCATTATTTGAGCTTAAGTCACTAAGCAAAAATGACCATTTAGGAGTACATGAAAAATCACTCCAAAGTAATTCATTTTAAGAGGTGCTCTGACATACTTCAAGCATGATAAAATTATGCTTTGTATGACTGGTTTTTATGTTTTAATTTTTCAGGTTAGATAAAGCCTTCTAAATTGCAGAGCTTAAAATTTTTTAAAAATCATGTTTAATTCTAACATTGAATTACTCCAAGAATCCTTATTCTAAATTCAGCAAGTTATTATCAACCTCCAAATAACTATCTTTTCTTAATTATGTAAATTTTGCCACCATACATATTAAATTTGTGTTTGAAAGGATGAAAAAGGCACTTGTTATATCTAATAATTCTACATCTTACATGTGGCTATAAATACTTCTAACCAGAGTTCTGGTTATCATCATTATTATTATTATCATTATTGCATAAACAGAAATAAGATTTTTAAAACTTCTATTGGACAACAGTCAAAAAAAAGTATAATGCCAACATGTAGAGAAGGAATGACAAAATGTGGGCCATGTGTCTTAAGGAGAAGCCTCAAATATTCTTCAAGTCATTCTCCATCTCAACATGCAAAAAATAGTGTGAATAGACATAAAATATCTCCAAGTGATATCAAAGTATCCAGTTCACATGCTCAAATTTTAAAAGGTGACAGCATTATCATAGTATCACGTAAAATGAAAATTAAATGATGTTTTTCTCTCTTCCCAGACTAGTTAATATTACCTAGATGAGTCAATATATGTGCACATACAAAAATGAAATATTTGGTTCAGCTCAGGGTAAAACAAGTAAGACATATCTACACAGTCATTGTTATAAAGAATTATATCTATTTTTAACTGGCTTTTTAGAGTAAGTAAAATTCACCTTGGTTCCTAGGTTGAATTCTATTGTCTGAGTTCAGTGAAATCAAACAATGCATTTGGATGAATGAATGAACCTGAAATTTTTTATAAGATCAACATGAAAGATCAGATTTGTGAAGAAAAAAATACTCATTTGAGATCATTGCATTTATCAAATTACAGACTGGCTATGTAGATTCTTTAACTTGTTTTTGATAATTCATTTGTGATTCTGTCTGAACTATCTCTTAATTCCTTCACTGATAAATTCATATAACCTGTATTCATAGAGGACTTTGCACATGAAAGGAATTTTATGGTTTATTACAGAGGTTATGAAGATGAATCAGAACACTGCTTTCAAAGTAGCACTGACTAGTTAAAAAGCAAAACAAGATTGGCATGTCACTAATTTTGTCAGTGGTAAGAAGTTAGAGTGTGATCTCAGAGAGATACAGGGCAAAGACAAGGAAGAAAAGTTGGCATGGTCAGTGAAATATCCATGAAAGAAGTATTATTTTACACTTGATCTTGATAGTTTATTGAGATCTTGTGTCAATATATCACAGTGTTAATGCTCCACAGGGTAAAATTTGAAGTCAAATTACCTGGTTGCAGATCCAAGAAAGACCTGGCCACTTCCTAATTGGGTGCCTAGCCAAAGTTTCTTCATCTGTACAGAAAGATTCTAACAGGCATTAATTAAATAATGCTCTTAGTAAAGCTCTTAGCATGAAGTAAACACCAAGTAAATATGACCAGCTAGTACTGGGTTTACAAACTTGCAGTGGATCGGGGGGAAAAGGAGAGCCTTTCAGACATCATGTTTGAAGTCAAAGAAAGGGGATAGCATGAGTTGTGTTCCCCAAAAAGTAAGTTCTTGTGGTTTTCTGGGACTT